GTGTCGGCTAAAACAGATATTTTCAACAAAACAATGCAAAGGTTGCACAGAAGATTATAGAGAATTAAGGGTTAGAAAATAAGATTGAACTTACAATATTTAACGTTCATCTGGATCCTTAGTTTTCAAAGGATGGAAAACTGGTGATAACTGATTCAACCTCACCTTTTCTTGATATTTTTCAAATGGGATAATAAAATATTTTACATTTTGTAAAGTTTCTCTCTCGATCATGTCTACATGCTCATTTCCTAAACTTACCCTTGGGATCCAAGCATGAGAAAAAGGCTTTCCTCATTGTTTTCCTTTCTTTCCTTAGAATGAAAGATAAGATCCATATGGAGCCTTAAGATTGTCAAATGATGATAAAAAGGCATAACAGACATATGAAAACATCACTTGAATGACAATTCCTTCAACTGGATCAATGCATCATGTCACAGCCTCAACCAGCTAAAGGTAAAAAGTAAATTCAATATGGAGCAGAAATTATAAATATATAACCATTATTAACAATCTATTTTACTTGTGCAAGAAAAAAGAATGAACAGTGCAAAGTGGAAACCTGAGAAACAATTAGAAAGCAGCTTCCCATGCCAGAAAAGAGAACACTTCAAAATATACCGATAAATACCTGGAAACTTGAGATATTGTGGGAAAAAGTTATTCCAAGTGCTGCATCTGATAAAACTAATATCCAAGTTTTCCTTCATTTAAGCACATTTCATAATTAGAAGGATTTCTACATAGTTCAATCACATTGAAGTACTGAGAATGGTTTCAACTCTTTCTTTGAAAGAGAACTTGCTTCTCGAATCATACCATAATGAGAATGAAACAAGAGAAACATATAGCAATAGGAAAAAACAGCCTGAAGAAATTTCCATTTATTGTTGTAATAATCTTACATGAATTGGGGTACTCAATCAACCAAGCAAAAACTACAATGGCACTCTGAATTCTGAACACAAATACTGGAGATCGATTTTATCAATACCAGCATCATTTACCATGAAACCACAATGCAATTCACAATAACAAACACATTAGTTCTACCAAAGCTAGATCTAGATAATTACGGGGTTGGACTTATCTATCTTTTATCTTCTAAAAACACAACAAGCAACTAACCAACGAAAAAGACTAATGATGACTTAACAAACAATTCATATGCAATATTAACAAAGACATTCATTCAGCAGACCAAACATCATCATGATCAACAACATGATCAACAACAAACGACGAATTGGATTCTCTTACAGCACTCTGATAGGCATTCATCCCGACTAACAATCAATTTGCATCACCTTCCCTTCGTTGTTCGGAGGATTGAGGTGGATGACCGGATAGAGATGCCAGCAAATTGAGGTGATGTCCCTGTACTTGAGCTATGGGCAAGTAATTACCAACCCTTGCAGCTGATGCTTCCCCCATTCCCAATGGCTGTTGCTGCTGAAGAAACCTCAAGGAAGCCGAAGGTTGCTGCTGCTGCTGCTGGGGATTATTCGATGCAGCGGCTGCAACCACCATTTCACCAGGAGGTGCAGCAAAGCTCCAGACTTGCCCAAAATCTGGCCTGGCAGGCAAAGCCCAAAACCCTCCCGCAGCTACCGTGGGTCCCACGGAAGCTGTAACGTCATCTTTAGCGATGTGGTGCTGGTGCTGGTCTTCATCGTCAGGACGGAGACGCTTGCCGAGAATGAAAGGCGATGGTGAGAGCAAAGACTGAGAATGAGAATGAGGTTTGTGGTCTAGGGCAGCAGAGACAGAAGAAGAATTTCGGTTGGAGGCAGAGACGGTGGAGAAACTGGCTGGAGTAGTACCTGTACCAGTGGCGGCTATAATCGACGGCTCCGCCTGGCGTAGAAGCCACTCAATCGTCTGTCCATCAGACTTGTGTCCGAGCTCACGAGTCAGCTGGAAAACTCTGGCGGCGCAGATTATAGGCATGCGGATGCGGCGGCCTCTACCGTCGACCTTGCTATGGCGGTCCTTTGCCGGTGGTTTCTTCACCACCAACGCGCCGTTATTGTTCCCGTCGACTCCGGCCTTCTGGGAAGGGTCGATAATTGCTCCTTCATCACCGTTGCCGTCAGCTGCAGACGTTGACATAGTAGAAAAAAAAACCTCAAGAATATGTTTAATTAACTTTAAGTTATAATTTAAATGAATCAAATACATTAAGGCCACCACCTATTATCCATAAAATTTGCAAGAATCATTATTTAAACACTCCAAACAAGTTAAATTTATTAACTATTTACATTGAGCCTAACTACATATTACGAGAGTGTTTGATACCCATTTTTTTGAAAAAATGTATTTTAGAATAGTAAGTTGATGAGAAATGTTTGGTTACAAAATAAGAATTTTTTTTATTTATGTGTAATATTATTTAAATAAAGAATGTGTGGTTAAAAAGAAGAGAAAAAAATGTATTTTGAAAAAAAAAGGGATACCAAACGAGGTCTACATAAGTTCATTACTAGGGTTGTCAATGAATTGAATTTTGATCCGAATTCAATAAAATTAATGGAAGATGAATTTTTGGTCTTAATCTAATAACTCGATTAAGATCCGAATCTAATAATCCGTTAATTAAATAAAGTAAATATGGATATACGTCACTCCAATCCGATAACAACTCAATTCGATTTCTTGTAATAACATAATATATTTTATATATTATCACATAAATTATTACACATAATTTTTTCGTTTTGAAACTGATATTATACTTCATACATAATTTTCAAATAATAAATAATATTAAATAACCGTATAATATTGTTAATTGAAATATTTGAAATTTTTTTAATTTTTGATTAATTAAAGTAAGATAAAAAATTATTATTTTATTTTATAAATTAAACAATCAAAGGGCTAACAGTTGGAGTTGCTTTTATTGTTTCCAACTTTCCACTTCCCACATTGAATACTCAATAGAATATTATAGGATTTGTAATCTATAAATAGGTAAAAATGTATCTTGGCATTTTAATTTTAGGATTTAGAATTTGATAAAATATAAAGTTTTTATCTTCCTAATTTTTTCAATTTCAAATTGGATATTCAATATCATAGCAAATTGAATATGAATTTAACAATTAAATATCTGTTAGATTATTGGTTTGACAATCATTCTTATCGGACCGAATTGAATATTGACAGATCCAATTAATTTATAGCCGTATTCGTTACTATACTATTTAATTTTAAAATTATACAGTATTTAACAAATTATATGTGCTGAACCGAAAGCATAGAAGTAGCTTGTGTGGTAATTGCATGTTATCTTCCGTCTACAACATGAGTTTATGGTAATAATGACATCTTCATACTCAAAATTTAAACATGACGATACAAAGGATCAGATGAATAGAAAAAGTAACCATGTACGATCTCCTCAAACATCAATTTCAATTACGATATCCTCCACTTCTTTACAAGGTAATTTTTTATTGTTACCATTTTTCTTTAAGTTAGACTTAACCCTTCTTCTTAGTACTATTTTTCTTTCGTAAATAATAAAAATGGTCACCTAGTGTGGTAAATTTATCTAAAATGAAAGACGTATCCAAAACTCTTTTAAAAAAAATTTGGTGAACAAAGTGAAATTTAACGTAATGTTTAATGGTCATACAGGATTGATAAAATCAACTCCTTGATAAATAACATTATATTAGTTTAAATAATGTTTTCCACTATGATAAACAAGTATACAAATGATAACGTTGCACTAGCATGTTGTCAACTATACATGGTTTAATTGTAGGTTAAGTTATTTTAATTTAATTTCATAAAAATATTTCGGGTAATAAATTCAGCACATTGCAGAGAGAGAGAGAGAGAGAGAGAGAGAGATGAAAAATAAGAAATTGAAGTAGACGAGAGGAGATTCTGCTTGATATTAAGAAAGATAGGTGTAGGTGGTCCAAACTCCAAAGGCAAAGGGAAAAGGAAATTTAAGAAGGTGGGGCAGTCCCTAATGCAGTGCAATACCTTATGTTTTTCGAGTTCATATATATATATATATATATATATATATATTTTTTTTTTTTTTTTTAGATTTATATTGAAATATTAAAGCATGGAGGCACCAACTATATATATATATATATATATTTTTTTTTTTTTTTTCAGATTTATACCGAAATATTTTTGAGGCGTAATTATTTATTGTAAAAGACGAAAATAGTATAATTTGCAGTTGTTGAATTTTCAATAAATCATATTTGGGTTGGCGAACTTTTATTAAATCCATCATCTGCTCCTTAAAAATTTCTTAATTATTTGTCATACCGCATTGATTTTTTGCATCATAAAGATATTATTGTCAATCAAGCAACTCTTGTCAATTTAGCCCCTGTTTGGCCTCCATTACGGGGAAAATTTAATGTATAGAATAGTTTTTTTTGAAAAATGAGTGGTTGAAAAAGAAAGAAATTTTTTTGATTTACGTGTAATATTATTTTATGAAAGATTGTGTGGTTGAAAATAGGAGAGAGAAAAATAGAATGTAATGTAATGTAATGAAAATCAAACAGGGGTTTAGAGGATTATAGGTGATGAAATGTAAAATATGAATGCCAGAATTAAAGTTTAGAGACTCAAATTAAAGTTTGGTTGAACGTTCAATGATCGTGGATTAGAAAGTAGTATATTTTACTAAAATTAATTTTTATAGCAATTTTTATATATATGAATGATGGGACATTCCTTTGCTAATTCCCACTTGATGACAAGATTATCATAATCATCTCATTATTATATATAACAAACCATAATCGTTGTGGTCCCTAAAGCAACTGAATTTTGTGCCAAATATTTGAGCAAGGCCCACCCCAATTGACCCTAAAGTCCTTGGGCCTATTCTTTTATTGGGCTCGTTTGCCCACTTCCTCTCTTGTATGTCCCTTTCACATTTGGGGAAATTCGGGTCAGTATTTTAAAAAGGAAATAAATTGGATTAATGCACTAAAATGAATTAAACCTTCCATAATCGTATAACAGAATCCCTTTTCCTTTTTCCGCCCAGTTCCGCTACACGGCCAGAAGTATTCCAAGCAAATCCCGGCTGACGTGGCGAAAAAAAAAAAAAAGACGCAAAAAAGGACCAATTAATTGATGCATTTGACCGCATGTCATCCAATTTTCCCCCAATTCACCCACCGCCCACATAGTAGGTTTCACCCAAGGAACTCGATTGCACTTCCAGCAATAGTTTTCGACTGCACTTTCCCCCAAGAATCAAGATCCCTTCCACACCAGAGTTTAACTATTTAACTTTCATGCTGGAAGTCGGTGAAATTTCTGCCTTAGATGTTACAAGGCCACCAGCTAATTCCTGTATAATTCTTATCTTTACAGCAGCACTATCTTGCAGATTCTTAAAAATAGTACGTTCTTATATCTTGAGTTCATGGAATTTTGTTGGGGTACATCTACTTCTTTTGTTGAGGAGCCCCATTTGGCCTTGACGAATATGACAAATCCAAAGCTAAAATTTCAGCTTTCTGGCTATTTTTGATGTTTCAATGCTATCTATCGCCCACAGAAACTGAGCATGAGCCATTAAATAGTAGAACATAAGAAGACTACCTTGTTAATTTCCTTTGAGGAGAACAGAAAATGATTTATTTTCTGCAATTGGTAGTTCCTCTTGTTTTGTTTATCATTTTTCTTTTCAACCTGCTAGTATACATTTTACTTCTTCAGGTTTGGAGTTACTGGTCATCGACTTTGGTGAGTCGATGGTTCAATGTTGCCTAGATGTTGGCCTCAATGATGAAGTAGACCTTCGAATTTCAATGAATGTGACGATATGCAAGGCAGAAGGCAGCCGAAAGTGGAATGCATAGAGGAAGGGTTCCACTTGATTAGTTATGATATGAACTTTTTTTTATGTAGGATTATGATGATAGAATCTATTTGATCTCTGTATGTAAACTAATCGAATGTCAATGGGTACATTGCATATTTTTTAGCCTTGCATATATGATGTTAACTTAAGTTCACTATCCTCGGCCATAATATTTGTTGGCAGCTTATGATAAGAAATTGTTGTTCAAAACGATAAACATGCGTGGAATGGAATGGACGAGATTGGAACGAAAATGTGGACCGGTGGCAGCCAAATAGGCCCATGCGACCACATGGGCCATTTGGCCATGCGATTACATGACCTATTGCAGAAAAATCTGGGCAGCTGCGATGTGAACCATGCGACGGCATGGGATTACACCATGCGGCCACATGGTAGTTAAATCCGACCGTTAGATCATTTTTTCGACGATTTTTTGGTTGGTTTTTTGGCGGCTTTTCATTTATTTTGGCACCACTTCGTATGGCCTCGTTCCATGACTATATATAGGTGGTTTTTAATCATAAGAAAAGGATGGAAAAACACTTGATTATATTATGATCATGTCATTAATCCTACAATAGAAGGATAAATTCTTTTTCTTCCATATTCAATTCCCTTTGTGTTCTTCAAGTTCGGGCGGAGAAATGCTTATACTTTTGTATTTCTCTATATCAAGGCTTGATTAATCTTACAAACCGTTTGCCACGAAATCCTTTAAACACCGAAATTGTTATTGAGAGGGGGCAAATATCGTTTGAGGACAACGATATAATATTGTGTTTAAGCCTTCATTTTCATCATATTTTTTTATTCATCTTCACCTTCTTGATATTATCTATCTTGGTTCTTCTCCTTCTTTTCCGGTGTTGAAAATTTCCCAACAGCTTAGTATCGATATTCTGAGGCTCTTATGTATACTATCTTTGTTATAAGTTTCACAGATGTTCTTTCGCATGTTTATACTTCAAACCAAACTGTAGACAAAATTTGATCTCACGTTTAATTCTCAAGTTCAAGCCTTACTCTAGTAGCATACTACAGATTTTAAGCTGCTGGAGTCAGCGTTGTATAACCCCCACAGTGAATGTAAATCTTGGAAGACACTTCCAAAACCGTTCATTACTTGGTATTTCTTGAGGTAGCAGACCCTAACTGGGACACAAAACTTTAAAGTTGGGGATTATTATCATATGCTATTCCACATTTGATTCAAAAAATAATACTATGTTTTGTAAGCACGAACAAGTACCAAAAGAATAATTTTATCACAATCACAGGAGTATACATCACTGCAGTTAGAATACTTTCTGCCTAGAAAGGCCAAATGAATAATTTTATCACCATCACAGGAGTATCCCTTGAGATTGATGACATTAGTGATCAAACAACATGCATAATTCAAGATGACATGGGGTGTGACAAATGCCAAACTCAGCCACTGAATTAATTGGGTTAATTAATTCACGGACCGGGTTTAATTAAATGGATTAATTAACTATTGGATCGGACCGGACCGAGCACGTTTGAGTTTTTATAAATACATGATTAGGGTTTGAGGTCCATATAGTTTTCATTATTCTTGCTGGCACAAGAGGAAAACCCTGATAGCTGCAATTTTGTTCTCTGTGTGGATCATCGTTGGAGGCTGGACAATTGGACAGCTGTGGGTGGCGAATCAAGATTGCTGGGACGAAAAAAAAGCAAAATGTTTGCAGAATTCGTCAAAAGTACAATCTTTATCACGATTTCTATCTAAACACAAAGGGATTCTCTTTGGGAATCGAAATAATTTTAATTTTTCGCTGTGCATGTATAAGTAGATTCCCAACAGTGATATCAGAGCCTACTTTGTGTTTGTTAGGAATTGATTGCATGATTGAATAATCAAATGTTGATTGTACATATTTTTCTTGTTTCTAGCAATTTGAAAATTTGATTTTCGGATTAATAATAAAAAAAATGTGAATGGATCTGAAATCCGGGCTGAGGACGGCAGCAGCAGCGTCGACTGTTGCTGCTGCCGAACATAGCAGCGCCAGGCCGGCTCTAACATAGAAGCGCGCGGCGCTGCTTTGCTATGGCTGCGGGAAGCCGCCGGCTTCAGGGCGGCGACGTCCCTGAAAACTAAGAAGCGGCGCCGGCTATTCGAGTTTAGGGTTGTTTCAGAAATCAGGGGAGAAATTTTAGGGTTTACGTTCGGGTTGCAATGTTTGGAGGTGGGGAGTTCCTCTGCAATTAAAGTAATTGTGGGCCCCTGTCTGCAATTATTTTCCAAGGGGTCAGTTTGCAAATTTTAAAAAAGGACCTCTCTGCAATTTATGAAATGTAAAGGAGCTACCTGCAATTAAACGAGAAGGGTAACTTTGCAATTTTAATTGGAGGACTTGTCTTGCTATTAAGTTAATTGAAGGACCACCTTTTAATTTTAAAATTGGGTCAATTTGCAAATTTCAAAATGGATTTTGAATTTGAATTTTAAATGGGTTTTTAAATGTATTTTAATGGGTTTGATCTATAAATTTAATTTTGACCCAAAATTAAAATTTTATTTAAAATTGACGACTTTTATATTTTCGTTAAAATATGATTTTAATATTAAATTTGACCATATATTGAATTTTATTTTATTTATGAGTGTTATCCTAAATTAGAATATTGACTCAATTTAAATTAGAGTTTGACTCTAATTTAATACTTAATTAAAATTTGATTTTAATTAATTATTCACCCAAATATATTCTTGTAATTAGAATTGGATTCTAATTTCCCATTTAATTAAAATTTGATTTTAATTAAATTGTCTCGCCCTAAATTTCTTCTTGGAATTATAGTTGGACTCTAATTTGGTATTTAATTAAAATTTTGATTTTAATTAAATTAATTCGCCCTAAATATTGGAATTAGAGTTAGGCTCTAATTTTGCTATTTAATTAAAATTTTATTTTAATTAAATTCAACTGCCTTACATTTTGAAATTAGAGTCTGACTCTAATTTGATATTTAATTAAGATTTAATTTTAATTAAATAATCCGGCCATATAATTGTTGAATTAGAGTTGGACTCTAATTTGTTATTTAATTAAAATTTGATTTTAATTAAATATTCTCGCTAATTAAATAATCGATTAATATGATTAATTAATTATTTAATTGTTCCGATCCATTTGTCTAAAAGAGTTTAGACGACTTAATTGCTAGAAACTTGAAATTAATTTGCGTATAATATTAGATATTGTATAGGTATACATTTATGTGATGAATGTATTATTAGTGGACGATTATGGACTCGACCATATCGATGTGTTGAATGGTTATTGTTTTCTGGGCCTGCGAGCTCGTTATTATTATTATTATTATTCTGGGCCCGCGAGCTATTGATCATTTTGGACTTGCGAGTCCATCATTATTATTATTATTGTTATTGTTATGGGCCTACGAGTCCATTATTATTATTATTATTATTATTATTATTATTATTATTATTATTATTATTATTATTATTATTATTGTTATGGGCCTGCGAGTCCAATTTTATTTAGGCTTGCATGCCACCTAGTATAGGATATAGGTTGCAATTGGACTAATTGAAGAGACAAGAAGAGGAAGAGACCATGGAGATGGTGCATTGATACTGTTCAATGCTATACCCCCTAGGAATTGACCAACTAGTCTTCCTTATGGCTCGGGAAGACTAGATATTAAGAGTCCATTATCGTCCACACCATTATACTATGATATATATATAATTGTATCGTTGTTGATGAGACTTTTGAATGCAAATCCCTCCACAAAATATTAAGTCACATTTATAATTGCCTTCCATCATTATAGTGAAAAACCAGAGTCCCAAATCGTCTCAACTTGTTGAGTACACTCAAGGCTGGTCTATTAGGGATATGTTTGACACTATGAAATATTAGATATTTCTGAATGATAGGTTCGACTTAACTAAAATTTATCTTTTGTTGAGTACACTCAATGAGATAAATTTTAGAGGCATGTTAAGCTAACACATAAGATGTGTGAAAACAAAGAATTATTAGCTTAATGATCTGGGAGTTGTATGGAGATACAATTGATAATAGCATCTACCCAAATGTTATATTAAGGTTAGTTGAGTACACTCAAGGTCTTAATATAATAGATGAGATCACAACCCATTGGGAGTCAAGTATGGACTCCATAAATTTATGTAAGAGGGTCATAAATTTGAATTAAACAGTGAGAGCATAATTAATTTAATAAAAGTCCATGTTAAATTAATTGATGCATTTTATATATTATTCTTTTTCCTTTTTCGTTATTTATATTTATTGAATTGTGAGTAACCATGTATATTTGAATGGCATACTGGATACCAACAACCAAATTAAATCTTTTGATTGGCACTGCTATTTGAGAATTGTTCTCTAGTATAAGAAAGTTGGTTGTCCTTAAGTAGCCATTTTCTAGAGACACCTGGTGATGATTCGATTAAGAAAGAGGTGGCTGCTATAATGAACGCAGTGATGACAAATAGTACTGCAACGTATGTGATACCTGCAACTATGTCACCTGAGTTACAAAAGCAACTTGAGAGTATAGATGTCAACACATAATTCTTCATTACAAAGAGTTGTATGATAATAATCATGTGTGGAAGGATATGAGACTTCCAAACAACTATACCGATGCAAAGTGACAAAAGAATCTTCAGTCAATTCTCATGTACTGAAGATGATTGACATGAGAAGTGCTCAACCGAGTTCAATTATTAACTGTGAACTAAGTATTGACTTAGCTCTACAATCTCTGTCATAGAGTTATTCATACTAATTATGAATTATGATATGTATAAACTCGAATGCATACTCATTTAGTTGCTTAACATGCTTAGGACTGTTAAGCCCTTTATCAAAGTTGGTAGTGGGCAAACCATTGATTCTTCTAAAGGTATTAAGAGGAAGTCTAAAGGGATTTTGAGAAAACATCCAATATGGTTAAGACAGTCTAAGCGACGGACAATACCAAATCTTATAACCCTTGGTTTCATTATAGAATGAAAGGTCATTGGAAGAAATATAGCGTGGCTTATGTCTACTTCACGACTTTCTTAGGTATCTGATACCAGATGTAAATCTCATATTTA